GATTAATTGTTAAAGGTTGGTTAGGATAATTATCGTTGTTTAATCTTACTTGAACTTTATGGATTAAAGGATCTTGAGTTTGGTTCATTGCCACTCTGAAGACATTATTCGTTTGAGAATCTGGTAAGTTCTTGAAACCAACCATTAAATATCTTGCTGGTTTAATAGTGTTAGTGATTGGCCATGTGGTGAATTCTCCAGTTAAAGTCATGCTACCTACCGTATTACTATGAAGAAAAGCTATTTCAATTATCTTTAGTTAATGAGTTGAATATTCTCGTTTCTACTTCAATTGATGGTGTTATTACGGGTATGAAAAGTTGGAGTTATTTCTAATTTTGCATTTGAAGCATTCTCTCAAAAAAATATCTTATCATCGTTGATTTCTCTTTGTAGATGAATTTTATATGGTAACCCTATGGAAACCTTTCTGTGTTCCAACAGACCGAATAAAGGATATAATTTCCAATTTACGTAATTATCCCACCTATTATTCTCCACAACATTATTATACTGAAGTACTCGTTTTTCAAATCCATGATTAGCTGCTCGTGCTACTCTTTCTATTGTGTTTCGAGTAACAACTCTCACTCTAGCTAAATCAGCATCATTTGCAAGATTTCTTACCGGTTCTTTTAAAACACTTCCATCGCCAACATCGGGTATCCAATCTTTAGGATATAAAACTGTTTTCAACATTGTGTCGAATGCCCCAGGGTGTTTAATTGTTTCTATCGGATTTGAACCAGCTTCCAAAACCATCTCGCTAAATAAAAATGGAAAGAAATTGTTTTCTAACGTTGTACTAGTTTCTGGTACACGATTTTCATTGGGAGTTCAATCTTTTATTTTGAAATCGCATCTGCAATAAGCATCGGAAAGAAGCAACCAATTCGATAATGAATTTATTTCGAAGGTAATCTACCACTATCATTCAACTGGGATTTAGAACCAACAGTCGGTGAGATGATAATATAATCCTCTTTTTTCTTGTTAAATGAATAACGAATCGGATCGTATAATTTAAAGATTGGATCTAGTATTTTATTTGCCATTTTTAAGGTTTACAAATTGAGTAGAAAATTGTGGTCTGTTTTTTTTTTCTCCAAAACAAGAGTTATCTTCCTTCTAGAAGTTTCTACATTATTATAACCGGATGTTAAGCGAAACAAGGAAGTTATTTTATATAAGGGTATTTTTAATATGCTTTTTTCGTAAAATTTAATGAAATTTAGGGTGAATAGGTCCCTTTTTGGGGTGGGGGTTGATGGAATGTTGGAATTGATTGAAGGTGCTTTTGGTGTAGGAATTTATGAAATGTAGGATGTTTAGGTGTTGTTTGGTGTAAGAATTTATGAAATGTAGGGTGTTTAGGTCTTTTTTGGGACCTTTCAATTTGGTCACTCCCCATGGAGCAAAAGAGCTGCTAAAATTGAAAAAAGCGTCTTGTCTCTCGTGAGGGGACTAGTCTGGAAAATTTTCCTATGTGGGTTGGCCCATACATTAGCTCTTTCGTATGCCACTGTCCAATATAATTATGTAAATTCTAACTAGATTGTAATTTAAGTATAATAGAAATATAAATGGTAAAGAGTTACTCCCCTTAAACTTTGAATCAAATTATCATAAATATTGTATCATTCGAAGCTAAGCCACTTTACCACAGTCTTAACAACCGGCCTATGAAACTGGATTGAATACAACATATTTTCGAAAACTGGTTTTAGGCGGACATATTTTGTTAATGTTGGTGAAACTTTAAAACGCTTGCAATATTTTTTATTAGCCCTGGAAAATCTAGTAATTTCCCCATAAATTTTGCTAGTTTTGCTTTGACATTTTGTCCTTTCTCGATTTTCTAATGTGGGATGACCCAAACATTAGCTCCTATACGCCACTGTCTAAATGTTCAATATAATTATGTAAATTCCAACCAGATTGTGATTTAAGTAGGATACAAATATAAATGGTAAAGAGTTGCTTCCCTTGAACTTTGAATCAAATTATCATATTGTATCATTCAAAGCTGAGACACTTTACTAGTATTATCTTAACCATCGGCCTATGAAACAAGAGTTGCATACAGTATATTTTCAAAAACTGTTTTTAGGCGCACAGATTTTGATTAAGTTGGTGAAACTTAAAAACGCTTGTAGTATTTTTTTATTAGCCCTGGAAAAACAAGTAATTCCCTCATAATTTTTGCTAGTTTTGCTTTGACCGATTCCGACATTTTGTCCATTGTGGATTTTCTAATGTGGGATGGTCCAAACATTAGCTCCCATACGCCACTGTCGAAATGTTCAATATAATTAAGTCAATTTCGACCAGATTGTGATTTAATTAAGTATGATACAAATATAAATGGTAAAGAGTTGCTTCCCTTGAACTTTGAGCCAAATTATCATAAATACTGTATCATTGGAAGCTAAGCCATATTACCAGCCTTATCTTAACCATCGGCCTATGAAACAGTTGCATACAACATATTTTCAAAAACTGTTTTTAGGCGGACAGATTTTGTTGGTGAAACTCTAAAACGCTTGCAGTATTTTTTTTTATTAGCCCTGGAAGAACAAGTAATTCCCTCATAATTTTTGCTAGTTTTGCTTATGGTATTTGGTAATGTAGTCGATAGAAGTGGTTAGCGTCCATTGTCTTAAAAAAATAGTTCCTAACAATTTCAGTGAAAAAGAATGTTATATCATAAACCAACTTATAAAAATCTCCACTTTTTTTATGTAATAAAAGGTAACGTCAAATATCGATACACGACGTCGCACTACGATGTGCGTATCACGGCATGTCGTATCTCGATTCACCGATATATCGTGCCAGCACTATGTCATACATAGCGATTTGACAATTAGTTGGTTTAAAAACTTCAGCACCTAGTTAATAATATCTTATAGAAGAAGATTGTCGTTAAATTTATTTCTTCGCAATGTTAGGGAATGGTGTCATTAAAATATAGAGTATTGGAAAGATTATGATAGTTCGTCTTTTTCTGGGATTGATTTGGGATCTTGGATATATATATATATAAATAGTCTTCAGAAGTACTAAAATTAAACAAACATAGGAAAATCCCTTCAAATATACCTCAATCTAGACATTTCAATTTCTATACGTGTTTTGTTAAAAAAGGAAACGTATCAACAAAAACTCCAGCCGTTTACCAAGGTACTTTCATGTACTTTTCTTAAAGACGATAGTAATTTAGTTCAAAAAGAAAACTTGAGAATCAATAAGGTCAGGAATAAACAATTTTATTTTGTTCAAAGTTATATTGTGTGGAAAACGAAAAGCTACGGATGGTTCATTTTTCACATAAATTTAATCACACACGGAAACTATTGCTTTAAAGAAACATATATACGATTGAATTCTGCCTGAACTGATAACTCGTTTCCTGTGCCGAGCGGTTGTCCTTATTCATAAAGAAATAGTTAAAAAAAAAACTTTATTTTAGCAACCAATTTTCATTAGTTCCCACTTAACTACAAATTAAACTGCAAAGTATCATACAAATAAACAAAAACAAAAAACAATATCATGGATAATTTAAGAAAATATAGAAAACTAATATTAAAGGGATTGTAAAGAGGTTTTCTAAACTCTTTAGAACTAACGTTTTATGACGTCACTAGAAGGGATCTACCGGAAGCTACTATTAATATATATGCAGTTCCCCTCTAGTGGCGTCATAAAACCGTTAGTTTTAGTGGAATTGCAAGAACAACAATTGTCGGAATGAAAATTTGAATTGTGCAAATTGATACTATGAGTGTCCCCGCTATACATAAAAAGTTAACAAAACTTAAGAATCCCTTTAATAAAATATATGCGGGTATGCTAATTTAAATAAAATGGCGACAGAAGAATGGTTATAAAATTCAACAGGAACAAACTTCATCAGTATTAGTTTAAATGTATATAAATGTAAGAAGGATATCGTTATGAAATACTTCCTCATTTATGACTGATTTAATACTTGCTCATACAAAAAAGTTCGTCACCTGCTACCAATAATACATGTTATTTCGGGTTTTAATTTTGCGGTTTAGTACCTGGATTAATTATTCATTAACCGATTAATTGTTGGTAATCCGTTGAGGACGTTAGAGTAAATATGACAAATGTCGTGACTGCAACAAAAGGTTGAACGAAACTCTTATCATGGCTAAGTTTTACTCTCTCCATGATCAATGAACCTCTGATATACAGATTGTGTGCATTAAGACATGATAAATAAATTAAGAATCTATGCAATATATTCATTAAATTTTCTCCAAAACAAAGCATTTGCCTCACCTTCTTCATTCCAGAGAAGATAATTTTGATGTGTCCTTAATAAATGATTGATTGTTTTATTGACATTATCAGGAGAAAGTTCTTCTAAAATAACAACAATAACTGTACAATCTCTATCGTGTATTGAACGTTCTAATGCCATGTTAACTTGAAATTCACAGAGTTGGTCTGAAGAAAAGGCATCAGAAATACAGATTAGAATACATTTACTTCTATCCATTTGTTCTAATGTTTCTGTCACAGTTGGTTTATTTGGTGATGCGTCACGTCGAGGAAAGAAAACTGTTTTACCATCGTTTTCCAATATTGTAACCAATTTTTCTCTAATATATACTTCTTCACAGCTGATATCAGCACAGACTACATATATATCATATAGAAATATCTGACCGTTTGAACTGAAATATTTCCTTCTGTGGAGATTCAAAACGTGAACAAAATACCGCAAACGCCATCTGTAGTGGTAAACGACAGAAAATCCCAATACTAAACACACCAAACCTAAGGAAGTACTCATAATAATGTTGTTAATTTTCTGGCTAAAGAGGCAAGATTTAATTGTGATTCTAAAATCAGCGAGTGGCTTCTCATTTTCACATAAATACAGTCGCGGATAGTAGGGGAAAATTTGGGGATTTTTCTCAATGAAGTTCTTAAACCAAAGTAATCTACAGTCACAAACAAACGGGTTAAAGGCTAAATTGATGATTTCTAAAGATTTAGGAAGGTCGCCCTCGTTGATTTTTGATAGTTTGTTGTCGTTTAGATAGAGCTGTAGCAGTTTCTTCAATGGTGACAAATAATTCGCTGGGATTTTGGTAATTCCATTGTATTCAGCTCTAAAATCATTCAGATTGTGTAGATACCCGGGAACGACTTCTGGGAGCTTTTCGATCTCTCCCATGCTAATACCCAAGAACAATAACTTCGGCACACATTTTAGCATTTCTGTCCAATCACGTTCAGACATCTTGCCCAAAATATTGTCAGAAATGTCCAAGTATTTTAAATTCGGAGTGTTGGCTAAAATTGACCGTGGGTTAACATAAGGTTCATAAAAAAATAATTTGTTGCTGCGAATGAAGAGAGTGTCCAAACTAGAACTGTTGAAAGCTAAAGGGTGTATACTCTTCAGACTATCACTATGTTCAATATACAATCTTCTCAGTGAAGTTAATTTGCTAAACAGATTATTTGGTATAATCTCCATGTGCAATTCAGATATATTCAGGTATTTGAGTTTCTTGAGGCAATCTATTCTGCTACTAGCAATTTTGTATATGCAATTTCTGTCGATATAAAGTTTCTGTAGATTTGGAAATAAAGCTTTACTCTGTTCACAAAACTGGGAAACTTAGTTAAGTGGTTTCCTGATAATCTGAATGTGGTCAAAGTTGTAGAGGGCGATAATGTCATATACTCGATATGATTATTCGAAAAATTTAGTTCTTTCAAATGTGGTAAATGCGTAAACATTTTGTCCATGAAGACCATTTTGAAATTGTTATAGCGTAAGCTTAATTTCTGTAATATGGTGTGTTTTAATGGTTTGAATAAACCCGCTTCAAAACGTTGAAGACTCAAATTCGACAGACCTATTTGATGAAGAGACTTCGATATATTCCACAATCCGTTCCTCAATACCGAATTATTAATTGGGTTTGAGCTCAAATCCAAAAATGTCAAGTTTTTAAACACTGATAGAGAGTTTTCTTCAATATAGCTGATTTCGTTTTCGGAAAAGTTTAATTCGTAGACACCTTTTGTATGAACAGAACTGAACATAAAACTGTTTAAGTGTCTAAGTGCATTATTACTGAAGTCTAGTACTTTATATTTGAATTTAATTTGTGGGATTTTTTTTAATCCTTGTGAAGAACAATTCACATAAGTTTTATTCCTGGTACAATAACAAACTGTTCTGTTCCCACTGTTCACACACGGTTCAGAGATTTCAGAATTCGTTGTAGAAAATATGTAGGTTGCTAGAATGAGCAACAGGAAGTATTTCAGCATTGTGATTTTTTATCGCTTTATCTCCAGAGATAATTTCTTGTTCCTGTAACATAAAATATAATCAAATTTTCATTTTATGTATTTACATTCATTTTATGTATATACATCTACTTATTATTTTATTTCTTTGATGTATATACATTTATCGTAAGTATATTTACATTCATTTTATGTATATACATCTTATTCATTTATTTATTAGATGTATTTACATTTATCTTAGGTATATTTACATTCATGTTATGTATATACATCTACTTATTCATTTATTTATTAGATGTATATACATTTATCTTAAGTATATTTACATTCATGTTATGTATATACACCTACTTATTCATTTATTTATTTGATGTATATACATTTATTTGATGTATATACATTTATTTTATGTGTATATACATTTATCTTAAGTATATTTACATTCATGTCATGTATATACATCTACTTATACATTTATTTCATGTGTATATACATTCATGTTATGTTTATAAATCCATTATGTAAATGTACATTTACGCTTTAGAACATAAGAAATATAATATAAACTGTACCTGTATTAAGCGATGTAGTCTACTGTGCTAACTAAATACATACATACTTGTTGTATTTAAACCCTATTGGGTCGAATATGCGTAATGCACAAAATGACTCACTTCAATTTGTGTCGGGTATATTTATAGCATCTGAGACGCTTCTTGTTGAATGTTAAAATAGTTTAAAATTTCATTACACAAGCCAATCACCTTGGATTTGTTTCTATTTTTATACGTCCAAATGGAAATGTGGGCGCATATTGCCGTCGCCCATGTCTGTCCGTCCCGTCCATTGGTTTGTCCGTTCGTCCGTCCACATTTCTTGTTTACACGATAAATTCTACAGCTTTTATCTGATATTGATAAAACTTGGTATATGAGATCTCGGTTAAGTTCGAAATTGGTAATAATAGGATGAACGGTTTCAGAGTTATTGCCCTTAACTTAGTTAAATTTGGCTTGTATGCACGATCAAGGCTACAATTTTTATTCGATCTTGATGAAACTTAGTATGCATTTATTCATTAATGTAATCTCAGACAATTTCTAAATTGGTAATATTCGGATGAACGTTTTCAGAGTTATTGCCCTTAACTTAGTTAAATTTGGCTTGTATGCACGATAAAGTCTACAATTTTTATCTGGTTTTGATGAATTTTACTACGCATGTATATATTAATGAGATTTCGGTCAAGTTCTAAATTCGTAGTAATTGCATGAACGATTTCAGAGTTATTGCCCTTGACTTAAAGATACATGTCAAATTTCGGTTGTAGACACGATATAGATTACAGTTTTTATCCGATCTTGAACAAACTTGGTATGCATGTATATATTGAAGAGATTTTGGCCAAGTTATTGCTCTTGACTTATAGCTTGCGGTTTTCATGAACAAGATCTTAGTCAAGTTCGAAATTGGTAATAATCGGATGAGTTGTTGCCCTTGACTTAATACAATGCGTAAAATTGGGCTTGTAGGCACGATAGAGACCCCAGTTTTTATTCAATGTATGCATGTATATATTGAGGAGATCTCAGTAAAGCTTGAAATAAGTAACAATCGGATGAAGGGTTTCGCAGTTATTAACCTTCACATGGTAAGAACACGTCAAATTTGGCTCTTAGGCACAAAAGAGACTACAGTTTTTATCCGATCTTGATGAAACTTGGTATGCATTTAGATACTGATGAGATCTCAGTCAAGTTCGAAATTGGTCATAAGCACATGAACTGTTTCAGCGTTATTGTCTACATCGATCAGACCCTTGTTCATGTTTTAATTTGATGATAATTTAATAATTTGTTTTTGAGGTTTCGCCTTGACTTATAAATATTTTTAAGATGATTTGAAAATTGACTATTAAGCCACTACAGACTTTGTTACCATTTCTGACAGCTGGTAGTGAACGTATGTTACCTATGTTATTTTTATCATGGGTTTCGTGTTTTCCTCTGTCCTTTGTGGTGGCCGGTCTCCAGCCTCTCGTCTGCAAGGTAATTATGTTCCTTGGGACGGAATCCAGATTACAATAGACCTGTAAGCAAGTCGTTCAGATAACTATAACTTGAAATGAAATTAAGGAAGGTAAACACTGTGTTGGAGGAACATGTCTGCATCTCACGTCAACTTCACCTTATTCGTACGTGCAGCGATTGAAAAAACTGGTGTATAATTTGATCTGTTTGACACTAAGAACAAGTTTCATACTTTGATATTAATAGCAAAAGTCGACGTCTTGAAAACATTGAGCTGCTCTTCCACCTCGGCGGCAAGATGGTAAACCATGATTGGGTCGACTGAGACGGCGGCTTCTAGATCTTGTATCTTATTTTCTTACATCTGATTTCGCCTACACTGTTTCCCCCCGGAAAAGATGCTTGAAAACAATTCCTCCCCCACTTTCAATTTTTTTTTTATCATTTTTCATAATGAGAAAAGGGCTGTGGCCCACTCGAAAATTGTGGCAGAAATTCTGCTCGTTTTTTCACAAAGTTATACCTGTTATAAACAATATTGAGAAATAACTTTATTCAAATATATTCATTAAATTTTCTCCAAAACAACGCATTTGCCTTTCTTCTAAAATAATGATCTGACATGTACATGTTTATGTCAGTAGTGGCTGGATAAAATGATCGAATTAATCGATTATCGTTGCTAGGAATTCATAATTTCGATTATCGAATATTAAATTTCATAATCGATTATATGTCAAAGTTATATTTATTTTCTTGACTGTACCCGTTAACAAGTAGTTATCTCTTCCACAGATTAGACCCATACATTCTAAGTTTGATGAAAATCGGATAATAAATAAGAAAGTTGGTAAATTAAGCAAAAACTGAAGATAACTTGCGAGGCAAGGTAACATACGCCAAATGGCAGCTGTCAGAAATGATAAAACAGTCTTTAGCGTCAAGTTAGAACTTGTTCGAGATCTTATCAATTCCAATGATCACACCAAGTTTCATCAGAATCGGATGAAAACTCTAGCTTCAATCCTGCTCACGAACTATTTTTAACAAATTTCGACGCGTTTTGACAAAGCCAAGGGAAATAACTCAAAAACCGTTCATCGAAAATGCGTCAAGTTAGAACTTGTCCGAGATCTTATCAATTCCAATGATTACACCAAGTTTCATCAGAATCGGTTGAAAACTGTAGCTTCAATCCTGCTCACGAACTATTTTTAACAAATTTCGACGCGTTCTAAGTCAAGGGCAATATCTCAAAAACCGTTCATCGAAAATATGTCAAATTCGAACTTGACCGAGATCTTATCAATATCAAAATCAGATAAAAACTGTAGTCTCTATAGTGCTCACAAGAAATGTTGACGGACGGGGGCGACGACAATATACGACCACATATTCATGTGGGCGTATATAAATGATGCAAAACTTCTGAGAACAATTTTGGGTTTATCCACATGATAGTTTTATCTCATGCAAATTTCAGATCGATTGTATTAACAGCAATCGTTTTCATACTGTAATAAAAACGTTCTGGTACAAAAATTTGCAAATAAATGTAGCAAATTTGCATTTTTTAAAGCCATGGTATGTCGTTTTGGCTTTACAATACAATTCAGAAAATCCAATGCATTGCTAATGCTGCTGTAACTATTACAGTTTCTGCAGAGTACTCGACACAAACTAAAACTTTTTTTGAAAGTCCGGGTCCGTCACTCGTATATTAAGAAGGTAATGTTCCCGGGTCCGTCACTCTTATATTAAGAAGATAATTTGCCCGGGTCCGTCACTCTTATATTAAGAAGATAATGTGCCCGGATCCGTCACTCTTATATTAAGAAGATAATGTATCCGGGTCCGTCACTCTTATATTAAGAAGATAATGTGCCCGGATCCGTCACTCTTATATTAAGAAGATAATGTGCCCGGGTACGTCACTCTTATATTAAGAAGATAAAGTGCCCGGATCCTTCACTCTTATATTAAGAAGGTAATGTGACCGGGCCCGTCACTCTTATATTAAGAAGATAATGTATCCGGGTCCGTCACTCTTATATTAAGAAGATAATGTGCCCGGGTACGTCACTCTTATATTAAGAAGATAAAGTGCCCGGATCCTTCACTCTTATATTAAGAAGGTAATGTGACCGGGCCCGTCACTCTTATATTAAGAAGATAATGTATCCGGGTCCGTCACTCTTATATTAAGAAGATAATGTGCCCGGATCCGTCACTCTTATATTAAGAAGATAATGTGCCCGGATCCGTCACTCTTATATTAAGAAGATAATGTGCCCTGATCTGTCACTCGTATATTAAGAAGATAATGTGCCCGGATCCGTCACTCGTATATTAAGAAGTTAATGTGCCCGGGTCCGTCACTCGTATATTCACGCAACATTTCAAAATTCAATCAGATATTTATGGTTCCTGTTGCTCTTTTGGACAAAGCTTGGTTGATTATTTACAGAATATAAATATACACGTACAAATATTAAAACAGAACAAAAAAAGTATGGCGTGAAACACTGAGGAACAACATGTTTTTTTTAAGTGTTTTAATATATCTATATCGCTCCACTATTGATATATTGAGCGATATTTTAACAGTGTATTTATATATTGCTTTACAATTGATGTATTGAACACTATTTTAACTGTGGTATTTCTATATTGCTCTACAATTGATGTATTGAGCACTATTTTAACAGTGTATTTCTATATTGCTCTACAATTGATGTATTGAGCACTATTTTAACAGTGTATTTCTATATTGCTCTACAATTGATGTATTGAGCACTATTTTGACAGTGAAGATATTGTATTGTAATAATACATGTATAAAGTTATGAAATGTGAAAAAAATCACTTACCTATCTTTATTGATTCAATGTTTTAGATATTTTAAAATTATGTCTTACGAGTACTTGTAGAAATGCATTCTTTCCCAAGTTTTATGGTGTCCCATTATGACAGCGTAACAACAGAGCAACACAAATACGGACTTCCTTCCGTTTAAAGGGGCAGTATGCAACATTTTTCATGATTATGAACGGTTTATAAATTTTCTAAAATATGCTATTTAGTTTTATGTATCTGTTTATTTGGTACTATAATACTATAATGGAGCAAACATTTAAAAGGGTCATATGATTGCCCAAGGGTTTACAATCATTCTCATCACCAACACAGATGTAACTTGAAATTTGCAAACAAAAGTCGTATAAGTCCACATTTAATCCAAATTCACAGTCGCAAACAAAATACACTTTAGTTTTGAATGCATAGTAAAGCGTTAAAGTTAATAAAAACTAATGAAAAAAATTATATACTAAGGGAAGTAACTTTGACAAAAAATATGATTGATCTGGCAATAAGGCCTACCATCTTTCCATAAAGAACGGATTGTCAATAGTTTATGTCTGTTTATTTTGCGAATAGTGATGTCATCAAACACAATAGTTTGAGTGGAATTGCAGGAGCCACAGATGTCTGATAGAAAATTGAAATGGGTGGAAAATGATGCTATCAGTGTCCCTGATACACATATTTTTTCTTAATTAAAAAACCTCTTTTCTTTACAATCTCTTCAAATCACAAAGTTCAACCATTTATTATTTTATTTCCGAAATCTCGTTGAAAAAACTGTTCAGTGGATTCATGTTGTAACATTTTTGTTCTAAAAAATTATGATCGAAAACAAACTTCGCCAGTCATTGATCAATATACAACACGTTCAAGTACTCAAAGCATAATAATTAATTTAAAATTATAAAACGCGACATCAATCACTGCGCTTCAAATAGGGTTAAGATCTCACGGGCGTTCTATCCTTTGGCTGTTTAAAACATAGGACATTCGACTGATATATGAAATGTCGTAATCAGGTAATGTATGGAGCGGCTGTTAACTCGTGTGTGACCTTCATTAATTATTAAGCTTGCATTGTATGCTTGAATCGAGCTATACCATCTTTAACGCCATGTGACCTGGTTAAGTGCGGATAAAGAGTTATAAAAAAGTAGTCAAGATCATTATGACTTTCTTTCACTAACTGATCTCTCAATACTGAAAGAGTCTGGATGTACAAATGTCGGATTAGCTAGCTATTTTTAGTCCAGTCGTAGTACAGGTTTTGTTGAGCGCGTGTTAAACAGAGATTCATTGTAAGCGATGGTAATGGATGATATACCTAGTGCTTAATCGAGGTATTTGACAATAACATAAGGACTAGTGCAGATATATAAGCCTTAATATGCTGTTATTTTTATTCAACTTGTCAAAGCTGTAAAATCGTCTGCTACAATTTGGCGGGAAACACAAAGAACATACAATCTTGTATGTAAATATCTGTTTTCATTTTTCCAATATGGCGATTTTCAAGTGAAAGGATTTAATACATGAATTGAGTTGAGGTTGGGAAAATAAGAAAAACTGGACTATCTACAGTGCTTTGTCGTACTGAATTTTATAGCCAATAACCCTGGCTCAATTCTTCAACAGTAAATCAGAATTAAAATAAGTTAAGTTTGTGGTAGGTTAAATCGGGATTATCGGATTAATTATCTAGGTTAAGCTGGAATAATATGTTTCAGAGACTTGATTCAGTTTGAAAACTGTGCTCTGTTAGTGTTTTGGTGCATTCTGTTTTGGTACAAAATGTATTATTCAAGACAAAACAAACGTGGAGCCAATTTTTCTCAACATGAACGAGACGTTCTGATAGATTGTGTTCAAAAGTACAAACATGTCATTGAAGATAAGAGGACGGATTCAAAAGCTATTTATAAGAAGCAGAAAGCCTGGGCAAGGATTCTTGTGCTGTACAATACTCAATTGGGTGTCACCAAACGTGCTGTAAAACAACTTCAATCGGCATGGAAAAATATGAAACGCCAGACCAAGGTCTTCAAAGCGCCTGTAAATATGGACGGTGACAGAAGAATCGAGGACAAACGAAGAGAAAATGCCAGAGTGTTGTCTGTATTAGAAACCTCTTCAAACGATCTTGGTAACGAGTCAGACAACAGTCAAGCTGGTGAATGCCAAGATGGTTTTTATATTGAGACTAATGATATAGGTATATATTGCAGTTTATTACGTCTTTCAAAATACTTATCATTTAACATAAAGGAAAGAGTAGCCTGAGAGGTCCCCTTGACTATTATTGTGACCCTTTCTTGCTCCCTTAATCTAATGATTCATATAAACGCCCCTGATGGCAATAACAACTCGTTCTTGGTGATTTTCATGATGCCGTAGATCGACAGCAATTAAGAAAATATGTCATTTGTTCCTAGTTCCCCACTCTACTTCCATATAACACCAGTACGTATTGTTCCCGAATAAAGACTCGGCAAATAACATACATCAAATCGTTCCATAAATGAATAATTCTTTCCTAAGATGTTTCTGGACGGCATCATCGGTACCTTTGCTGTTTTCCTTCCTAAAAAGACCATGTTGGCCCTTCCCGAAAACCAAATACAGGTCTGCGATTTAGAATTGTAAGACACGCAACTATCGGAAAATACACAGGCCTTACTATATTTTTTGAAATTAATGTTATTTTTGAAACCTATTTTTCAGATATCAAGTCAGAGCCAGTAGACAATGGTTACCAACTTTCAAATCCATCAGATGTTACTTTACCACCGTTGTCAGGGAGCCATGTCAGTGTCAGCCAGTCGGAACAAGGAATTGGTTTATCGAACGAGACTGCCCAGTCCTTTCAGCCTAAAATTCAAATGGTTCATACGCAGGCCATTCCAATAACCAATGCAAAACCCAATCCCAAAGTTCAATCGTCCATCACATCGCGGTTGTTAGCTCCTAAACCACCACCAACATATCAAGTCATTTTACAACCCCATCAAAATGGCGGTAATCTCATTCAACATTTACAACCGTTAGTTAAAAAACCAATACCACTATCTCGTAAACAAAAATCAGTGTCAGCGAGTCCTAAAACTTCGATAACAAATACAAATACCCAAATTATGACGAATAACCAACCATCTTATATAACATTGCAGCCTTCAACCGGTGTTAATCAAGATACGTCAATGACGAATCAATCCCATCAGGTGTCCTCTGTACTCAACAATATACCTTTAGTAGTCAATCAGAATTTACCAAACGGAAATGTATCATTGGCCAGTACAACAATGGCACATGTTAATCAACAACCACTAATCGCAAAGTCAGTGACAACTGGTCGAGTCACAGAGCAGCAAACCATTTCACAGGCGACAGTAAGCACTAGCTACTCTCACCAAGAACATTTAGAAAAAATGAAAACTCTTAAACTTGAACGCATCCTTATGAGAAGGGAACATAAAGAGAAAATGGCTATGTACACAGCTAAAAGAGAATACTATGCGGAAAAAAGACGCAAAATTGAACCTGGGACAGATTCATAATTATCATCTAGTTTTGAAAGGTCCCCAGGATCGTCTGAAACGAATAATTCTACGTCGATGTCAATTTACAAGACGTTGATGACAAGTGTTCGAAGAAATCCGTATTGTTTTCAATATTTTTATTTGTTTATTTGTTGTTATTTCTGTTACAATTAAATGGTTATGTACTTTACAAAATGATTTTAACTCATATTTAAATTCAGATGCAGGTGCAGATGCAGATATTATATTGTGGGCTACTAGTAATACACCTTCCATGATCTGGCGAAATTCTTCTAAAATCGCCTTCAGTCGAAGTTTAAACCAATAACCCTAAAAGTGAACATAAATTGCACTATAGCTTATCGATGACACGAAGAATACAAGCCACTGTTTAGCAATGAATAAGATATTGGATTCGTTACAAGTAGATTGAGTAAAACACGACGCAAAGCAAATTTACATCTATCACTTAAAAATGTTGTAAAATATTGAAATGCGTTACATTCACAGCTGTTTTTAATATTTCTCTTAAACATCATGTCACAGAGTTTTACGTTTTCATGGGAAGTTCTGAAAAAGGTCTAGTTCACAATCAATGTGCCTCCATGATCTGACGGTCTGTTCAATATTTTTTACTATATATTAATGAAGATTTCTGGAATATCCAGCGTATCCAACAACTTTTAACAGTGTTTTCGATCCGTTATCAAAAATTACCATGCAAATTGTTGATGCTACGGGTCAAATTTTCACAGGACACGATTTCACGAAGAATCTTGTCAGATCATGGATGGTAAGTGTATTACCCTGCAGCAAAAACACGAAACAAACCATCCAGATCTGAATGACTTTGGCATTTTGTTGAATGAATAACTTAAAATAGATTCAAAGGATTAAAAAGTTGTACAAATACTTTGTAGAAGAAATAGGACATACGAAGATTAGCGTTTGTTTGGATTAGCTGATACCAATAATCATATGATTATTATAATTTATGACTAAAATTGACAAAAATACAACATGACAACTAATCTGTTTCAGTTATATCAAACTGGGAGAAACAATTCATGACCAATTTGAACGTATTTAGGATAATTCAAGGGCAATAACTCAAAAACAGTTCATCGAAAAAAAAACAGCGTCGAGAACTTTCTCACATCCACAAGGTACTTTTAGACACATGGACTAACGAATAGATAGTGGAGTGAGCACCTATGGCGCAGTCATAATTGACCGACTAACAATAACAGTAACTGCGATCATCTACACCAACAACCAGATTAACAATTTGATATGAAATAGATATGGCAATTGATGGCAACTGCGATTTGTTTTCAGAGGTCGGTGACATCATAGGAAATAAAATCCAGAAATTCATGCCGCCAATATCAATAGCAGTTGGAACCCAAACCCAATTTTCCATTAGAAAAAATCGACATGGGCCTAGTGGCGGCCTCAGCCTCTCGATACTTGGGTTACAAACAGGGGTCAGCCTGACATAATTGGGAGACAACCGTCGAGGATAAGATTCAAAATGAGGCAGCCCCATTGAAGCTTTTATAGACAAGAACCCCCAATAGAAAATTGAAAACCAAATTGATTTATACCCCTGGCTGCCGCCACCACGGCATGAGCCCTCATGTATATGCCCGCGTAATAGTGTTTCGTACAAAAATGCTAGCACTTGAGTGAATTGCTCTATATTCTAGTAATCCAAATATTTGATTTGTTTAACTTTACATCCGGTCTAATCTTCCTAATTCAATAAACTTGACAGAAACAAATTCAGTTATCATTTATATTTATAAACAGGGGATAGTATCCATGTGACCTTTAAAAATTCACACCTTTAACCTTTTTCCCTCCAGTAAGGTTAGATAAAGTTGGAAAGATGAAGCTTCTTGTTCTGGTCTATCTGATAGCCGTGGTTTACAGTCAAAGTACAGTACCGGGATGTTGTGTTCCACCTCAATGGGAAGGATTGCAAGGAACCATAATTGGTCGTGTTGACGGATCTGGGCGACAACAGGTTATTTCGATAAGATTTGTGAAATTTCTTGCTCTCACTTGGCCTAATGTGGTGTGTTTAATTGATCATTTGGTTACAGACAAATTGATCCCTGCGTGTTGGGTGGTTGGTAGATGACAAGTTAACGTTCGCTTCCAGCGGATGCTGATATCGCAAACTAGGTAGTTGTTGGTAGTCTTGGTAGTTGGATTGGATCCCTGCGTGTCAGCACCTTCGACCTTTATAGATGACGGTAGCGACATGGTGGTATTGAGTATCGAGTATTCTTAATCATATCATTATGTTATTATTGCACATAATTAAGAGTTTAAACCAATCATTAATGTACATGTATCTACAGTCTGGATAAACAAAAAAAAAAATACTTTTTGACCTTTCTTGATCGATCACTCATTGGAACACCTCTACTTTCTATTAGGATTTTCATTTTGATAAATGAAAATAAGGGAACCCATCTTTAAATATCGAACCTTTAGTTCAGTGGTTTTCAGACAACGTTTTCACTGAAAAGGCTAGAAAACTATATAAGTTTACCGAAAACAGAGGTCATGAATATCTGTAATCAATATTTTTTATGTCCTACAAGCAAGAGACGCCCGGTATAAAATATGCTTTTTCAACTCCAAAGAAATGTTCTTTCAGGAAAATGTGGAAACTTTTTATGATCAAACTAATAATAGGATGGCCTTGAATGTTGCAACAGATTTTACTGGGAAAATGCAATATTTGAGAATTATTCAGCTATATAGCAAAGTAGGTACATATTATATTTCATATTATTGTTTATCGCACCATCTTGTATCCTATAAGAATTGAAATGAGTTTTTTTTAACTTTTTTTGTGTATCGAGGAGGCACGTATCTTCTATTGAACGCTGTGTACAAATTCAGATTCCCGTCCGCCGTGTATTGTTCCCTGCGTTCCGGACAAAAATGTTAAAAATTACAAATGCGACTACCATATTTTGCGATGGTGATACCCAATGAGGTACAGCAGATCAGTCTAGTTTGGCCAAGCACCGCTTTTTAAAATTTTAGAACCCTGTAAGAATATTTGGGTGTTGTTTAAGTCTTGAACAGTCCCACTTTCGTGGAAATCTTACATTTGATTGTATAATCTCATTTAATTTTATTGTAGAAAATACAATATGTCATCGATCTGGATACTCAAACCTGTAAATCCAATACCCTATCTGGAACTTTTCCACCTATATGTTTACCAAGTAAGTCCATTTCAAGGTATAGATCTTTCAAAATTCAAAACTTGGAATGAAGACATCAGCCGATCTAGTCATAGTGTATCGGTGATCAGAATTAAGCAAGTTTCAGGCCATTGGCGAGAGTTTTTAAATATATCTAAAAACGGTCATTGAGGCCGCATGCCAAAAGAATGAAGAGCTACTTTAACCATTGCCATTAGTTGTTAGTATTTTAACGCTCGTCGCAAACGTGTCTGTTGCATTGTTAATCCTTAACTGCCAATCGATTTAAAATGAAATCCGAACAGTAAACCAAACGTACAATAATAAAGCATACGTTTTTCTTTCAGAGGACGCTATGCCTGAAGGTCCTTACTATTTTGGTATTGGTGACACTAAACTGGAGTCGATTTCTTTCCGATTTAACGTTAGTGGTGCCAATGTTACGGTTTCTGCTTTAAGAGAAGGCTGTATTCCAATTTTAGAGAACATTGTCACTAGTGGACAAGGCAGTGAGTTATTAACTTTGTTACAATAATCATAAACACATTTGAGGGCTCTGGGTGACTTATCAGATTTGTCGTGGTGGACATAAGAGACATTGATCGGCATCGATCAGCCACATGTCGTAGATTCCGACCTCTCAGGTAGACGACCAGATTTTTTTGCTGGAAAAGAACATGGTCTGGTGCCAAACGGTGAAAACTGAGATTCTTCAGACAAAGGTCATATTCGCCCAGATGTTGCAAACGAAACTACGTATGGTTCTTACATGTTATTTCCATCGTATGGCTGATCGTTTAAAATCCAGTTCCTTCCAAATTCTGCCAGTTGTAAGGGTCGGCCTGAGGATCAACCAAGATAAATCTGACGGATTATTCTTATCATGAAGCTCGAAACTTCGTCTGATACAAAGCAACTAGACAAATAATTTTGAACCATTTTTTTTTTAATTCATTATGTTTTCAGTTGCTCAGATGCAGACGACTGGTTTTGTCAATTTAAGCCCGGGTATTAGTCAGCCAAGTATGTTTGATGTTCCTGATATATGTAACCAGGTATGCTCTGAACCAGTCAATCATTCGGCAATTTCCGTTTACTTTGTTTACAAACACACGTATTCCTAAACGATCACCCTCTGATATTGAAATTAACCAGAAACACGTGACAATTTGTACAGTTTCGGTAAATAATGTCTGCCATTCATTACCGTGATATCAGCACTTTCTCTGTAGGCCGTTTGCCACTCAATGATTTTATTATTCCTAGTTGCTTACAAAGGAATATCAGTACTCCATGCAAGTTCTGCGAGTTACAGGTTAAACCTCAAATTTTCTTGAATTGTCTTGAGTAAAGGACTGGTTAATGGAAGATGAAGTTTGTCAAATCGGTCTAATATTCGTAATTTGCAAGGAGTCGATATTTTTCTCATATAGCTAATATTCATATCTAATAAATAATGATTGAATGTGACTTGAATTTTTATAGGATTCTAGCATCAATATAATGGTTTTAAATATCACATCCGAAATTTCCTATTTTATTTCATAGGCTAAAGACTTGGGATTGGAAGCTTCGAGAATATACCAACGAAAATGGTTTCCTTTTTCGTAAATAAAATTCAGCATTGACTTTTAAAATGACTTTTTCTTATATGCTCACATGAATGGATGTTCAGCGTATATTTGCATCACCCCTGTCCGTACACGATTGCTCTTTAATACTACCTCTCGGCATGGAGGATTTGGAGGAATCGATTAGTCCCATGTATTTGGTGGAGTGTGGGTTTAGCACGGTTACTCACAATGGGGTGGTTTGTTGAAGATAATCATGCGAGGTGATCAACGACTGAAATTTACGTCACTTACCTCAGACATACAGAAAATCGTGAACGATCATTCGGCCCAAGGGTCACATTGAACTATCTCGAATTATGTGGATTATAATTTTATATCCATTCATGGTTAATCGCTGAATACATTTTTGAGTGAAATACGTTTCAAAATTACTAATAAATTTTGGGAAGGAATAATTTTGTAAGAGGGGAATATTCTCACTGAGGTTGAGGAGCATTTCGAAGAAACTTTACGAAGTTTGAGGAAACTTGGTGATCTTGTTCATTGGCGCCACATAACCACTCAAGTGGAGCAGGAGGCTGCCCAACAGATATATAAGTAACCATTAATCAATTCACATTTTCATAGCAAAGGGGTCAATTAAATTAATCAAATATATTAATATTTATTCATTTATGCATTTTTTAATCTAGAATCAATAACAATCACTTTATAACTTTTAACTCCATGTAAAATTACATAAATTCATATTCTTTAAATAAAATAATTGCAATCTGACATGTTTTCTCATCATGGCTGGTATATATATTCATCCAATTGAAAACATGAAAAGCAACATGTAGAATTGAAAATCTTTAATGATTTTACAGAATTAAAAAAACTGTATAAATCTGAGAACAACTGCAAAACAAATTTTAACACAGTTTTTGTCATTTTCATGCTCTACTCTGCTCTATATGTCTTTTTGCCTTATTTGCATATGCACATATTCACATCCAAAAACGGATTTTTTCAAAAAGAAAGATGCCAACTCAACTGATAAAGCAAGTGGTTCTTTTTGTACATTCAAGGGCAAACAGACACACATGTAAAATAAATGAAAGGTACAGATGCACAAATGGTGCGTCTGTCCCTTTAACAGACTCTCAAATTCGAAATAAAATACTGAGCTATTCAATGAATGCAATCATTATCATGCATAGCACATTCTTTGACACTTCTTGAAACACAACCACATTATGACAATGAAATATAATATAAACAATTAACTCTACAATAACATAACAATAAGGCATTCTTTAATTGATATTTCTGTGGTACAATTAAAACTTCATTAGACTTATAAATACATAATAGGACAAAATTATTTTGTACCCCCAATCATAAATAATATTTGAATTTTTTTTCTTTGGAACAGAACTGAAAGGACTAATTGCCACAACAGGGCATAAAAATAGCACTTTTCAGTGACATAAACCTTAGCACTATTAGCATAAGTAAAATATCAGTACCGTAATGTTCTTATAAAAACTAGAAACATTCTCTAAATATTACCACTATCAACAATTACGGTATAAACAACTATGAATTTGTTTGTTTTTGGGGCCCTGAACATCAGCTCCTTCATTTAAGGGTTGAAATACTTTTCCATTCTTGTGCCATGTGTACTTAATCTAGAGGAATTATGTGGTGTATTGATTGGCCAGCCCTCTCTTAGTATGTCTTATCACCACTATGAGCAATTTACATCAATAATGAAAAGCTTATTTTTTAATCTTCATTCTCTTTCCTCTGGCTGCCTTTAAATATTGGTTAATACGGTCACTGCGAAAGTTCAAATTTTTCTTTTCAAGCTTTTCTTTCACAATGTCTTTACTATCTTGGTACAAATTCTTTAATTTGTCATCCTCTGGAACAGAAATTTTTCCTTTCTTTTTCAAATATTTAATAGCAAAATTAGTGCCACCCAGAGTAACAGCATACCGTGCTGGTGTTGCCACTTTGTACATAAGATAGGCTAATGCTACATTTCCAAGACTACTAGAACGAAATGGTTTCAATAATGATTCACCGGCTCCAAGTTTTTCCAGAAAAGGTATGATATCTACACCACTGAAAAAGAAATCAAATAAGACAAAGTGAGTCTATGAAGGAATATTATGATACTGGTTAGTTGGCAGCTAAGATATCAGCCACAGTAAGAACAAGTAAGAACAACAAGATGGTTTATCCACTGGATCCACTGGATCTTTCGTTCTTCAGTACATAAATTGTAGTAAGAAGATCTTATTATTCAAGTCAATTCAATCCATACCGTCCTTTTAGCAGACGTTTGACATCATAGCTATCAGAAAGCTATCACTTGTTTTGTTGTCTATTTGACTTTGACTTAAGAATTGCGGTTTGGATACATCATTATGTCAAAGGCAAATTGGAATGAATAATGAGCATTGATTGTTTTTAACAAGGTGTCATTTGTTATAAATCTACTTACTATGCTGCAGCTGCATAAAATGAACTAAACCATACAGTTGAAGTTACTAAATGCACACCTACTAGAACTTTTCCATGTTTCTTGTACGCTCTTTTAAACCGCTTAAAAATTGACAAGGCTTGCTCATCTACATCATCATCCTTGTCATCTTTACTTGATGAAAATGTCCTTACACATAAATATGGATTATAAATTCTAGAGTCTACTGATATTAAAGATGAATTTTGAAATAATTGTGATCCATATGAATTGAAAAGAGTTCTTTGCTTTGGATTGTTTTTGGAAGACACTGCATGGTTTTTGGAAGGTGCTTGAAATTTATCTGAAATGTAAAACATCAACAAAAATATAGAGATAAGGTCAAAATAAATTTTAATATTCAAAACATCATACAGACTAGCTTGGAATCATTTACTATAGACATCTAAAGAAGCTTATTTTAAAGTTTGTTCTCAGCCATGTTATGGTTTATGTTCTTCCTGTGCATCTATTTTTTGAAAAAAAAAAAAAATTTTGCATCAAACACTTACAGAGACCAGTTTTCAAAAGCTGGCACTGATTCTCTTTTGATAAAGGTAACAACAATCATCAAAGAACTAAACCAAACTTAGTCACTAGGCTATATAGGCTGTCACGTGGGAATTATATTTTATAATGCCAACACTTGGAAGATGAGAAATTTCAAATTGCAAGTTACTAGAACAAGAAACCATTGGTTGACAGACCAACTAACGAAACCACATACTTTGTGAATAGACGTTCCCAGCCACAGTAATATTATTCTGATAACTTATGTCATTAATATTAATTCGAGGTCGTCTGCTTATGAAATCATCCACAGAAGATCGAACATGTTGGCTGAGTTTTTTCTCCAATTCCACTGTTAACCGTGGTCTAAACTGTTTAACACCTTGCGCCAACTTCCACACATTAGACATGATAACTAATTCAAGCAACTGATGGACATTAAACGAGTTGTTACGTTTATTTCGGCATGTAAAAGTATCGTGAAATGAAGATGTGACTTTCGTCAGGCACACATGCGATCCACCGAAAATAGGTACGTATCCTCTTTTACGACAAACAAATATCATCCATTTATTTATTTCCTTTCCTTTATAGTACATCTTGTCTTATTTTGTTCAAATTGTGTGTCCCTATGTTTCTTCTTATAAATGTCAGTTGACTAAATGCCTGCTTTACATTTTGCAATTATATGAGCGACCTTGAACTTCTAAGTTATAACGACAACCATCAAAGAATCTTTTGTTTTCATATTTCTATCAAAAGCGTGAACAATGGGTGAGGAAAATGAAACTTGGTGCTTTGATCACAGAAACTAACTTTATTACGCTTCGATATATAGTCAATAGTATTGTCAGTCGATTTAAAATTCACCTTACTTACTAGGCCAAACGAAATTATTATATTATTATTGATAATCTATTTTGGACATGCCTTCCTTTTGACCAATCTTAGAGTAGTCTCAGAAACAGGAATTTGTTCAGTAATAGCGTTCACAGCCCACTTTCAAAACTCAATGTGTGTACAGAATTATCAGTGTTTGATAGTTAAGGTAACGGCTGAGTCCTTGCCATGGACTCAGATAAGCATATATGAGAAAAGGCATATTCATAATATAGAAACAGAAAGTGAAACTTCTTCTTTGAGTGTCTACAGTAACTTGTGAACTTTTATTTAACAACTCTTGTGTATTTTTTTTCCAGAAAATAATGGAAATAAACCAGAGGAAAAAGAAGGTGGAGAATCTAGTAAAAAAGTGGTAGGTACTAAATTTCATGATTGTTGTTATTTTGTCTGTAAATTGAACATTGTAGATAATTTTTTCATAAGAATTTTAGAATTACTTTGTGTTCATAGAAGTTACTTGATGTGTAACCAATAATAGAAACATAAAGATGGCGTCTCTTTGCCTCTTTGAGACACACTAAACTCTTTCTTTTCAATTGTATCAGGAAGATGGTCAAAGTGAAGATTTAACTGGAACAGTAGCTAAACATTACAATGAACTACAAGAAGCTGGCAGACAATCTAGAGCATTAAGTCGGATTTATCATATGCGAAATTTTAATAATTGGACCAAAAGTATATTGATTGGTAAGCTATTTTTCCACTGTATAAGGAATATTTAGCTCTAATGTAGAGTTGGTGTCTGATGAAAAACAGATTATATAATATTATATTTCTGTGAGATTTTTGTTCAAATTCCCTGTCTGATCCCTTTTGATAATTCCAGAAACACTGTACCGAATTGTGCATAACACATTTTAAGTCAAAAGCAAATAAAGTTTTCTTGGAATTAAGGAACCATAGAGCCTACATGTGGGACTGAAAATTGAATGATACAGCTGGAAGCTAGAAATGTTCCCAAAACTTTTCTATTCCTTTAAGGAATTCAACCTCAACTTCATATTTTATTTTGATAGGTGATACATTAGATAAAATACGAGGAACAGACAGAAATAAAAAGATAGTAGTATTAGATTTATGTTCAGGTAAAGGTGGAGATTTATTAAAATGGAAGAAAGGTGGAATTGATCAGTTGGTGTGTGCAGGTGTGTTATTATTTTTACTCTGACAAGCATTTCAAGACATGTTCTTTTGATTATAAATTTAAACAAAGCAAATTACTTGACAAAATTATAATATACCAATACTGATCAATAATGAAAAAGGTCACATTGCCCAAGAAGTGAAGATAAATCGTTCAAAAATATTTTATTTTATTTGATGTTGAAAGAATAAGAATATATGTTTGGAGTAGTTATTGTTTGCAAATTTTTGCACCTATGATGTCGATTTTTAACCTTTTTCACAGATATTGCGGCTACATCAGTAGAACAGTGTGAAACGAGATTTAAAGAGATGAGTGAAAGATCACGAAATGAAAGATATGGTCCCAGATTATATGAAGCTGAGTTTATAGCTGCAGATTGTACTAAGGTATGGTTTAACAGTTGTTACCATGGCAATAGTTATTTCATTTAGTGTGAAATATTGCTAATTAACAATTATTTGTTCTAAGAACCGAAATGAAAATATTCAAATAAACATCAAAATTGTGTCCTAAGATGCCTGTCTAATTTGGCACCCTGTAAATTGTAAAGGCTTTTGCAAATTAATTTTTTTAACATGTACAGGGTACAGATATTGTGACTGGCATAACTTTGTTGAGGTTGAATTCTGTAAGCTGGTAAAGGCAAAAAAAGGAAGACCTCAAGAAGAGACATGAAAAATAAGCCAAATTGAAAAAACATTATTTTTTAACTGTAGGAAGAGTTAACAGAGAGATACAAAGATCCGAACTTACAGTTTGATTTGACCAGTTGTCAGTTTTCATTCCATTATTCATTTGAAAGTGAACAACAAGCTGATATGATGTTACAGAATGCTTGTTCTAGATTAAAACCTGGTGGATATTTTATAGGTACTACTCCTAATTCAAATGAACTTGTGTAAGTAGATGTACTCTAATAAAAATACCTAAATAACACTATTGCAGTCGGACAAAGAAATTTTTGCAAATCTGTGGTGGATTCAATATTGTTGATTTTATTTTTAGGTAGGGAAATTAGCAATTGGGACTTTACAAGGCAAAATAAACTACAACAATATAAAGTTGACTGCTTTTGTTTATTTTTTTAATCTGGCCTGTGTCTACATGAATGTGAAGTCTTACTCACTGGGTGTTCAACATGGTCTGTCTAGCTTTGGACATGAGTTGTGATAAAGTGTCAATCATTTTGGAATTACAGAAATGGTTTTGGTCAGAAAAAGTCAATGTGTCTAAAACTTTTTCCAATATTATTTTCCATTGATGTTTTTGTTGGTTTATCATGATAATCATCCTGATAAGTTTTTAAATTAAATTACGTCTATTGTATATTAGGAAAAGATTACGAGCCAGTGATGATAACAGTTTCGGTAATGATGTATACAGAGTTACATTCCCTGATTCAGACAAGAGTTCCTTCCCTTTATTTGGTGCCAAATATGACTTTCATTTAGAAGGTGTGGTTGACTGTCCCGAATTTCTGGTTTATTTCCCATTATTAGAAAAGTAAGTCTTAGTTCCATACCTATCTTATACTGCAATCAAAATAAAGATGCCACAATCACTACGTAAAATGTAATAAAAGGCAATCCCGTCATGGTAAAATGCCACTGCCACTTTATAAATTGCCAATGCCACTTTGTATAATGCCACACCCACTATGTGAAATGCCACTGCCACTTTGTAAATCACCATGCCCACTTTGTAAAGTGCCACACCCACTTGACTTGATTTCTGAAAATCTTTATGCTCATTTGATATTTCAGAATGGCAGAAAAATATGATATGAAACTTGTTGAGAAAAAACCATTCGCTGATTTCTATTTAGAGAAAGCTCAGAGAGGAGATGCCAAAAGGTTACTAAATAAAATGAGTGCATTAGAGGTGAGATAGAATCATTTGTTACTTTAAACTTTTTTTAAAACCCAGTGAGAGAAATTGGCTGTAAAGTGACAGGCCTTACAGATTTTCCAAATGTTGAGCAAGAAGCTTAACTGATTTGGCGTTATAAAATTAACTGCTTGGATTTTTTAAGGTTAAAACTTTCAGATATGTTAAGGGACATCTTTCTCTAGATTTTGGTGTATACTTACCATAAATTTGATCGAAATTTTTTTTCGGTCTACATAAAGAGCAGAATGCCCCTTTAAAGGGAATATCAACTTAACAAAACAAGAATTGATGTCAATAGATGGAGTAATCATACTTTTTATTAATAATGACAATAATTTATAACATAGTCATAATAAATGCTTTATTGTAGACATACCCTACTAATGATGAATTGGTTGGAACAGATCCAGATGATTACACTCATGCCAAACAATTTATGTCTACATTAGAATCTCAACCTGATGATAGAGGTAACAGTAGCAGACGGTCAGGAAAAATAGTAAGTATTTTATAAATCTGCTTCTTTGCTTGAAGCCATCTACCTGCTTGTTCGTTCATCTCCATTGATAGAGACCTGGGGCCTTATTCTCCAAAACATAACTATCCAGATTTTAAGATATCTGATTGGATAAATTCAAAGTCGATTTTAGTGATTGACCAATCAAATGTCAGTAACACTATAATCATCTTAAGTAAAGTTTTCAAGAATAAGGCCTCAGGGTCCTGTCTTTTTTGAATAACTCTTGCTACTTTAATCATTTCAAGATGAGATCTAACACAAACTTCTACCAATGATTTTTGAATGAATAAGAGTTATTTTCTTCGGCAAGAAAAGTGGAATTAAAAAAAATATATCAGATTCAGATCTACCCTGCCTCAAAACACTATCTGAAAGAAGGTTACTGAACATTGTCTTTGTGAGAAGTAATGATCAAGTTATCTCGATTATGATAATTACTTCTTGCATATGTTGAAAACCATTCTGATATACTTCTCACTTCATTACAGGGAACATTGTCTAAAGCAGAATGGGAGGCAATAAGTAAGTACTGATCCCCTTAATTGTTTTTCAATGTTTTGATAAATTTAAATCAGATGAAAATGCTGATGGTTTTGGTTTATGTATGGTTTGGATCTATTGATCAAAATAAGCTGGATATTGGACTGCATTTACTTGGGTTATTGCCCTTGGTTGATGGAAGTATTGAAATGAAGGCTGTTCTTTTCTAAAATTTGCAGGAAACATTAATTGTTATAATGCTCAAGCCGAATAATGCACATATTAAAGGGGCATTTCGGTCGAAATTTTTTTGCTCAAATTTATGATAACTATACACCATAATATAGAGAAATGTAAATATGCCCCTAAACATATCTGAAAGTTTTAACTAGAAAAAAAACAGCCATTTTTTTTTAATGTCAAAACATTATGTAAGGTTTTTATGTTCGCTATGCTTTTTGATCGGTGTAAGAAAACTATGCGAACTGTCCCTTTAAGAGGTTTGCCAAACATGAACATAAATTGTTTAGGGGTAGAATATAGTTACTGAGACTGTACAATCTGTTTCCCACACTGTGAACATTATTGGCTTTTCTATGTATGAATAAGACTTGTTCAGCAGTTCCAAAGGTATCTTCTCTGTTTATGTTGTTCTTTGTTATAAGCAAAGATATTTTTGCCCATCTGGCTTGTATTCAAAACAAAACAAGATATGTCCATTTCGGGTAGAATAAGTAAATAATAAACAAGATTTATATTGTAAACATTAAGAGTTATCATACCTCAAAATTTTATTTTGAATTATCTGAAATTGCATAAAGTATTTATGCTCTACTATACCACTACTATGTTTGTATTTTTTTCAGCTGTATATTTAGTGTTTGTGTTTCAAAAAATGGGAGGTGATGAAAAGGAAGTCCAGACTCCAAAAAGACGGAAACATGATGATGATGTTGAGGAAACAGAACCCATTGAAAAGTGTGCTAAGACCGTGGAATAAACTTTCTGAAATAATTCTGTGGGACTTAATTTTGTCTTCCTTGAACTGAATTAACAAAACCTCTTCTGATGAAGTTGATGATATATTTCATGTTTAAGCTTTTAATCAGAACAGCTAGCCTGAAAAAGGGGTTCATTAAATGGACTTTGATGTATCGGGACAGGAAGAAAGCTCAGAGAAAAGGTCTCCAACATGGCTGAATTAACTGTAGCTACGCATACATTTTTGTAGACTACTTATTAACCGGTGATAATATTTACATCTTTATAACAACTGTAAAACAGATTGTATCATCATCAAATCATTACGGAATATTTTAAAGGGACAGTGGTGCCATTTTGAGGGGTTGATTTTAGTCTTGATTATATGTAAATAGTCTTCAAAAGTACTAGAAATGTACTAAAATCACATAATTCCTTAAAAAAATACTTCAAACTAGGAATTTTACTCACTATTTTTATATATCTTTATATCACAGAGAATCTTAAATTGACAAGACGTCATTATAACATCCAAACACAGATAATTCTGGACACACATGGATTTGAAGACTCAAATTTCGGCGGTGAGATGTGAACACTATTACTGATAAGCTCAGCTAAAAAATTTCAGTTTCTGAGACTAGTATGATTGGTAAAAAAATGGCCTACCTGTCCCTTTAAAAACATTATTGTCATTTGCGAGCTAATTTAATTCGGTAGTGTCCAGTATATTTTGAATTATTTATATCATAGTTGTAATGTAGAGTTCAAAATATAACACAATAAAAATGTTGTACATTACATTATCAGGATTTTGATTTCATGTACTTGCTAGGCAAAGAGTATAATAAAGAATGACTTTGCATTAATGAAATGCCAACATGGGAAAAGAAATAAATGGAGTTGTCCCTTTAAAGGGGCATTCCACTTTTTTGTGAAATACTTGCATTATCAAAAATATCTTATTTACATGTAAAGTATGTTATTTATATCTATGTATCTCCTTCACCAAACTGAATTTTTTTCTTAAAAGGGTTAATTAAACACAGAGAGTATTTTAGTGTATAGTTTTTACAAATTTGAGCAATAAAAAATTTCTACACACAAAAAAAGCGGAATGTCCCTTTAACTGTTTTTGAGAAAGATTACAGACATGTATTTGAAAGCCAGAATAAGTATCTTCCATTTCAAGACCATCATCATTCATTATACAAATCTCATAAGGAATTATTATCTTATGTTTAAAAATTTCTTGTAAAATGATATTGTAATAAAAATGTCAGTAATTAAAGATAATGAAAGAATCTTTTCTCTTTTTCAATACGCCCACATCTAAATCAAGTAAAATGTGATTGTATTTCAACTGTGTGTTGCTATTTCTACCTTTTATTTTATAATCTGCAGTTTTTCATCAATTTGGATAAAAACTTAGTTTATGGAACATTTACTCACATAATGATGATCAAGGCCAGTTGGCAGTGCCAGCCTCCCGAGGCTGGAGGTACAAATAGAGGACAGACAGGCTCAATAGGGGGACTACTTTTGCGGCCGATTTCAGAATGCTGCAACTTTGTGGAGGTTTCATAGTCGCAAGCCTCTCATTCAGCATCTGAATTGAATTGGTGCATTCTGCTATATTTAGGGGCCATAATTGATTGAAATCTCAACTTTCAATATAAATGGGAACAAAAGTTGTTAAATGAGTGGAAAATTTATGTGTTCCAGAGCCCAAATTATTGAAACGAATTATTGTTGTCTGAAGCCAACAACTCTTATGCGGATGTGACGTCAACAACATGGCAGCGCCCATTTGACACGAGAATGGAAATGCATTAGGTGTTCAATGTGCAAAAAAATTATCTACAATAACATTGTCTTTGAGAAACAACCTTAGTAAAATGGGAAGATCACGTCATCGCAACAGAAACAAAAAGGGTCCAGGAAAAAATGTTAACCGAGACCAAAATAAAGAGGTAAGATTTGTAAAGAGATTGTGATGTTTTCCTTTGGAAGATAGCTTCTTTGACCACGTACACAGTCCTTTTTTTCACATTCTTTTCACTTTTTTTTCAAATGGTTGACACTTTCATGGACTCATCTATAAAAAGAGTCTTACAACTATATAATGTATAACCCAACTTTATAAACAATCGTTCTTCCCTAATACAATTATCTAGTGGAACCATCTGGAAGACCAACATTGTTGGCAACAAAGGAGAGCTTTTTCATCAGAGTGTTAAGCACTCTCTCCCCGTCACATATATGCTGTAACAGGCCCTGCGACATATACATTCAGATTCAGATTCAGATAGAGAGTTCTTATGCAGCATTTTTGGGTTAAGAAGAACAGTTATAAGAATGTTTTGAGGTCCATTGCACTATGTCTTCAAAGTGAGAGTGTGCTTAAAATAATTGTTAATGTGGTTGATTTTTCAGGGAAAGACACAATATCCAAAACATTATAAAGATCTGGTTAAAGAGAATCAATTATTTAACAAATATTACCAGGTTTGTAGGTCTATTCTTTAGTATGACTCACAAATTCAGGTCGAAAAGCAAGTTTGGTCTTGGCATAACAAATACATGTGTTTACTTCTGATGAAAGACTAAATGTTAGACAGGACCAAGTTATTTATGATAAAATTACGTCAGAAGAAACTTATTGTCTCATTGCACACTGCATGGTATTGACCTTGTTTTCATAATAAGTAGGATTTAAAGCTCATTTCAGACAAAGCTCTTGTTGATTCATTCCAGGGTTTAGGATTAATACCAGAAGGAGAATGGGATGAATTTCTTAAAATGTTAAATACACCCCTCCCAGTTACATTTCGTATCAATGGTAATAGAAGGTAGGTAGTTATTTTCATGGTTACTTTGTGAATGTTTCATATAAGCTTATTGGGTTTTTTGAGAAGGAGGATATCAGTAATAATCGTTATTTTGTAATTATATTCTATTAGGCTAATCATTAAGGGACTTCACAGAGTTCTTAAAATTGTATATGCAGCTGAAACCAAAATTGAACCTTTTAAATGAGTTGAAAATAGAACTTTTGTGAAATTATATCATCACAAAACAGTTGGAAGGCTTTCTTATCATTTATATCTACTTCAGTCAAGCCAAAGAAATGTTAGAAGTTATACAAGGTCATTATTTAAAGAATTTGGAACAAGTTGAAGTGGATGGTGAAGTCATTAAACCACCACAACAAATTGAATGGTAAGTGACATCAATTTGAGCATGGCTTAAATTTCTCAACTTTTTTCTTTTTAAGGGGTCTGTAGCGCAGTAGGTAAGAGTGTTGACTTCTTTACATAACCCCATTTGCTTGGTTATATTAAACAAATGGTGGTTCTAATCTCTAAAGGTCATAATATATTGGCCGCATTAATGGTATCCATTGTAAATTCCAGGTATCCTGATAATGTAGCCTGGTATATGGAAGTATCAAGACAGTCTATGAGAAAGTCTGAGATGTATTCCAAATTTCATAAATTCCTTGTTTCTGAAACAGAAAGCGTAAGTTTGAATTATTGTCATTGTCAAATTTCTCACTCTATCACTTCTGATTAGACTGATGAATACCCTGAAGTGTACAATTAAGGAAAGTTTGCCCAAGACAGATGCATAGGTCTACTGTTAGCATTTTGTGCACGATAGAATCCTGTCTCTCATACTGACTAGAGCTCTTCTCAAGCCATCAACACATATTTCCATTACACCATTTTCATCAAGTCAGCTAGTAGTGTTAATTCTCATATTTCAGGGAAATATAAGCAGACAAGAAGCTGTTAGTATGATACCACCATTATTATTAGATGTTCAACCACATCATAAGGTAAATCAATATCTTTCACAGAATCATCTAATTTTGATCATTGCTTGCAGTTTTGATCAATGCTGAAATACTCTGTGTTCAACTCTTTTGCTGGTTTTAAACTGATAGTAATAGTATCCTGCAGGACTTCCAGTAGACACTACAAGTGGTACCAGCAAGTTATTCAGACGTCTTTTGAAGGGTACATAACAAGGGAAAAATGCTTGGAATAAGAGTACTTTTAAAACCTTTTTCTTCTGTTTTAAGGTGTTAGATATGTGTGCTGCACCAGGATCTAAAACAGCTCAGTTGATAGAATTATTACATTCTGATGAAAATCAGGAAGTTCCAGGTAATATACCTATATATTTCTTCTATTGAATCTCATGATGGTTTATTATTCATTTCCTTGAATAATCAAGGACAGCCTATCTTTATACTATATTTATGTCCCCTGGATTTTTATAATTGGTCTTCCTATTTTGATGGATACAGATCAGGAAAGTTGACCAACAAATTGCCAATATAAGTTCAAATATTGGATAGATGTGTCAATGTGCGTATTATGTAATAAAACTAATTTTCTAAACAAAATTTGCCTTACATTTGAGATCTGATAGATTTTTTGGGGTGAAACATTCAGCTAGATAACACTATTACTTGTCATTAACAAATGAAATATCCCATATCACATTAAGACGACCATAATTGTTTATATATTTATATTTAGATGGGTTTATAATTGCTAATGATACTGATAATAAAAGATGTTATATATTTATATTTAGATGGGTTTAAAATTGCAAATGATGCTGATAATAAAAGATGTTATATATTTATATTTAGATGGGTTTAAAATTGCTAATGATACTGATAATAAAAGATGTTATATATTTATATTTAGATGGGTTTAAAATTGCTAATGATGCTGATAATAAAAGATGTTATATATTTATATTTAGATGGGTTTATAATTGCTAATGATGCTGATAATAAAAGATGTTATATATTTATATTTAGATGGGTTTATAATAGCTAATGATACTGATAATAAAAGATGTTATATATTTATATTTAGATGGGTTTATAATAGCTAATGATACTGATAATAACAGATGCTATATATTTATATTTAGATGGGTTTATAATTGCTAATGATACTGATAATAAAAGATGTTATATATTTATATTTAGATGGGTTTAAAATTGCTAATGATGCTGATAATAAAAGATGCTATATATTTATATTTAGATGGGTTTATAATAGCTAATGATGCTGATAATGAAAGATGTTATATATTTATATTTAGATGGGTTTATAATTGCTAATGATACTGATAATAAAAGATGTTATATATTTATATTTAGATGGGTTTATAATAGCTAATGATGCTGATAATAAAAGATGTTATATATTTATATTTAGATGGGTTTATAATAGCTAATGATGCTGATAATAAAAGATGTTATATATTTATATTTAGATGGGTTTATAATTGCTAATGATGCTGATAATGAAAGATGCTATATATTTACATTTAGATGGGTTTATAATAGCTAATGATGCTGATAATAAAAGATGTTATATATTTATATTTAGATGGGTTTATAATTGCTAATGATGCTGATAATAAAAGATGCTATATGATGGTACATCAGATAAAAAGACTACAGACACCATGCTGTATGATAATAAATCATGATGCTTCTATATTACCTAAACTAAGATCTAATACAGATGAACAACATTTACAGTTTTATCAGTTTGATAGAATACTAGCTGATGTACCTTGCAGGTGGGTAGTTTTTAAAGGAACACAATTCCATAACTTGGCCAATATGAGTATATTTCTATCAGTTTACCTACCCAGTGTAGTTACTCTACAACAGAATCCCTGTATAATCCTATAAATCCATAAAACTAATTTAAGTAATTATCCATAAAACTACAAGAAAATTCTACCTCCTTATTTTTTTCCACATTATGTTTTTACTTTAGTACTAGGCCACAAAAATTATATTGCTCTACAATTGATGTATTGAGCATTATTTCAGCAGTGAAAATATTTTTTATTATATCATAGTACAGTATAAACTGTGTTATTTTATTTTTGTGTATTCTTTGGTTATGTTGTTAAATCATGTTATTTATAGTGGAGATGGAACATTAAGAAAAAACCCTGATTTATGGAAGAGATGGAATCCAACACATGCTTGTAGTCTTCATGGGTATGTGTTTATTGTTATTATCCTATATTATTGTGAGGATTGTTGTGAAACCATTTATATTCGTGGACACAAAATTTCATAGGTATGTCCTCTGATGACATAAACTTACCTGTAAATTCATATACATATCTCTTGTATTTCAAAAGTTTTTTCTTTAAATTATGTATTTGTGTCATTATTATCAAAACCATTGTGTATTAATAGCCCTTAAATAACTTAGCCCTTAAATAACTTAGCATCACTTTCATGGGTAAATCTACGAAAATTGATCCATCAGCAATATTGTCCCATTATATTGGCTCGTGAACTCAGATCTAATATTAATAAACTTTAGTATCCACATAAGATATATTGAAGAGATCTGGAAATAGAATAACTTCACTTTTATTTTCCATTATACTGTCCTGGTAAAGGTTTTCTCATTTGTCAACAGCCCTATAAGGTGCTGAAATATAATCTCTTCTATGTAATTTGTAGTTTACAGAAGAAGATTTTAAAACGTGGTGTTGAATTACTAGCTGTTGGTGGTAGATTAGTCTACTCTACCTGTTCATTTCACCCTGTAGAAGATGAAGCTATAGTAGCTAATATGTTACGGAAAGCAGAAGGTATGAGCAATCCTCTTTGTGTTCTTATTGTTTTTTTATGTGAATATACGGTCTGGATAAACAAAAAAAGGCTTTTTGACCTTTCTTGATCGGTCTCTCATTGAATTTTGATAATAATTCTCTTTCTTTTTTAGCTAAATATGAATTAATCAAATTAAATTAATTAATCAAAACTGGTATTTTCCCAAGTCAGTAGAACACCTCTACTTTCTATTAGCATTTTCATTTTCATAAATGAAAATAAGGGAACCCATCTTTAAAGTATTGATTTAAGTAATTTTTATTTAAGATAAGTATTGGTAAAAAATTTGTTTTGTTTCTATATTATTGACAATCATGGATTTCAGGTTGTTTAGAATTAATAGATGTTAGAAGTCAGCTACCAAAATTAAAATCTATTCCTGGTATTACAACATGGAAGGTATGATTATATATTAGGATTATTGAAGAAAGGGTGTTTGCAACACTTTATCTGACGTTTATGAATATTCATATTCCAATTTACATAAATATAGTTACTCAAATTTGAGAAGCAGTCCCAGTAGAACTGTATTTGATTCAGTGTGACCAAAAGATTAAAGAAAGAAAGAAACAACTTAGGTTCACAATTAAGGATCCTTTCTACTAGCTGGTCCTTGGCCAAACCTCTTGGCATTGATCTTTCCCAGATTATCTGTACCCATTTACAGCTGGGTCGACTGGAATTATTAGTGAAGATTCAAGGTCATCGGTCTATCACACACCGATCAAGAATTGAACTCACAACTGCCATTTGCTTGACGTACCAAGCAAATGACGTAATGTTAAGAACCAATGCTCGAACCTCACAACTTCTAAATACATTGTTTAAGTCTGTTCTCAATAGGTCATGAGTAAAGAAGGTACATGGTATGATAAATTTGATGATTTACCTCAACTATTGACCAATCAAATCAGACATTCTATGTTTCCTCCAACACCAGAAGAAGCAGAGGTCATGCAGTTGGAGAAATGGTAAGTACCCAATATAAGTTACTTATTTATTTTTTATTCCAACTCATTTATTATTAACCCGATTATCATAATGTCAAGATATTACAAACTTTGTATTTATACCTTGACTGCAATGGATCACAGAAGGTAGCTATTTGATTGGATTCTCTGCCAGCTAATACAGCCAATCAGAGCCCTTTGACAGAGAGACTGTAGACAACATGACTCTTTTTTTTTGTAGAGGCGTCTGACTGTAATTGCTAGCGTACAATCCAATCAAATCGCTTCATATACAAACTTCCATCATACAAGAAAGGTGACTATTCCAGTCAAGGTTCATGTAGGAAGTTCATAATAGCTTAACATTGTGAGATGTATTAACCCATGAGGCCTTTTTTGAAAAAGGTTATAGCTCTTTTAACTTTAAACTGATTGTTATGAACCTCAGAGAAAGTATCTCATTTGTATTTCAGTGTTCGTATTTTACCACATCACCAAAATACTGGAGGGTTCTTTATAGCTGTATTTCAAAAGACTAAAACTTTACCTTGGATGAAAAATTATTCAGATTCATCTTCTACAGGTATGAATAATGGCGCTTGTTTGGAAAGTTATGAACAGGTTTTTCTGTTCTATTATGTCCCAATTGAACTGTATGAAAGTAGATATGTCACATTCAAAATATTCTCATTTTTTTTTCTCCGCCATTTTGAATTCTGTCTGCACGTAATTGAAACGCATTCTGAACTATGTTCCATCATGATTCATCGAACATTCTGTTAATTCTATAAATCCCAAACGTCCAGAATTCACCTATGATAGGTTTATAGCGCTGGGTGATATACCAGTATGATGATGAATACAGGTATAGGAATTTATACGATTAGTTATATCTTTTAAGAATACTGAAATATCATCATATTGTGATATATGGTAGTTATTATGATATATTGTTAACTTTTTTTCTAAATAAGATCATCTACACAATTTTAAAATATATTTGAAACAGATGTTTTTTTCATGATGTTAAACACTGGGATGTTTTTAGAGATATTTATTGTTTTATGTTACATTTAAAATTTCTAGCTAATAATTTTGTTTCAAAAACCAGTAAAAAGCATACTTAAAAAATATCGTGATATATACCCATATCGTGATATATCAATATCGTGATATCAACTTGAAACAATATTGCCCTATAGTTGAGAATGGTATCATATTTGGCGGCGTGGTCATCCACATTTTAATCCGATAGCTTCTTTTGCCTTTAACCTTTTCATGTCAGTCTGATGTTCTATTACGCAGGTGACTTGGTCAAAAATAAAGATTCAGAAGTCAAAATTGAGACAACTGTTGTACAAACTGAAACCAAAGTTGTAGAAACTGCTGGTAACACAACAGTTGTTAAAACAGAAGATGAAACTGTAGTGACAACAGAAAAAGTTGAAGGTGAAAATGTGGTCAAAACCAAAATTATTGAACATGAAACTATTGTACAAACTGAAACAGTTGAAGGTGGAACCATTACAAAAACTGAAACTGTCGAAGATGAAACCACTGTGAAAACTGAATCAGATTCAGTTGAAAAAAACAATGATGAAGATGACAAAAAGAGAAAACCAGATGGGTCTGAAAGGTATGTTAAGTCTCTAACTACTTGGCAAAATTGAAGTATTTAACACTGAAACATTTCTTTTCTAGTTCATTGGAATAGCTCAGTTGTTTCCAATTTGGATTGCCCTCTGCCAAGTAGAGCTGACAAGCTATATCTAAACATACATCAAGTTAAAATAATAACCAGATCAAACCTTTAGGATTATTTTATTATGTATCTTTTTTAAGTAACAGACCTCAAAAGAAACCAAGATTACAAGGGTATAAAGAAGATCCCTTCTTGTTTACCAAAAATGATGATCCTTTTTGGACCTCAATCAAGTAAGTCAAGTAAGATATATTACTAATGAGATAGAGTAATTGTAACAGAAAGTATTTATTGTAACAGAAATAGTTATAAGATAGTTATTGTGACAGAAAATAGTTATTGTAACAGAAAAAAGTTATAAGATAGTTATTGTAACAGAAAATAGTTATAAGATAGTTATTGTAACAGAAAATAGTTATAAGATAGTTATTGTAACAGAAAATAGTTATAAGATAGTTATTGTAACAGAAAATAGTTATTGTAACAGAAAATAGTTATAAGATAGTTATTGTAACAGAAAATAGTTATTGTAACAGAAAATAGTTGTAGTAACAGAAAATAGTTATAAGATAGTTATTGAAACAGAAAATAGTTACAAGATAGTTATTGTAACAGAAAGTAGTTATTATAACAGAAATAGATTCTGATTTGAAGTCTTATTTTGGAAAGGTATGCTATTCACTCAAGCATCGGTCAACTACTTGTAGCTGCCTGCATTTTATTGTATATTTTAGTGGTATATATTTGTCAAATGTTGCCTAGCATTAACAGGAACAATGATATTTCAGATCATTCTATAAATTACCAGAATCATTCGCATGTGATCAAGGTATGTACAGATCAGCTGAGGGGTGTAAAAGATCTCTGTATTTTGTATCTGCTGGTATTAAGAATATTGTAGAGTGTAACAGAGATAGATTAAAGGTACGTTTGGCTAGAAACCCCTCTCGAATTTCTGATTTTTTAGTTACATCTATGGGATTTTTATCTGATTTTTTCTTCGATTTGGAAGCAATTTTAACTACTTTGTCCATTTGGAAAATGAAAATGGAAAATCTGGTAAATTGTACATGTTCTTTACCTAATCTGTCTAATTTTCATTTGTTTTATGTGAATTTCAGTTTATAAATATGGGTGTAAAACTATTCAGCAGAGCACCATCACCTCTAGTTCCACAATGTGATTTTAGAGTTGCTCAGGAGGTAAGTTGATTCCTGTCCATAGAGCTATAGAGCTCCAAAATTGAACTGAAAATCTTAAATTGTCTGTAGGCCTCAAATGATGACTGTAAATTACAGTTCTGTAAATTTTTCATTTTTGTACAGTAAATGTGAGATTTCATTTGACCAATTTGTTCTCAGTGGAGAACTGATACCTTTACTTGCCTGGAATCAACTGTCCGTCCAATGTAATATTTGCTTGAAAGTAGAACATAACCAACTGGCAGCAATTTCAGTTTTTAAGTCTTTGGTGGTTTCTATGAGCTTGCTTTGATCTAATGGTTGTTCAGGATCCCCCCACCCCAATGCTTCCAGATCAGTCACTAGTATCACTTCAGCCCTAATAGAGAAACCCTTTCCAAAAAATTCTAGGTCTAGAATGTTGTACTTTAGTTATCATTAATTTTAAATCATGTATTTGATCTATATTTCAGTGCCTGTCATGTCTACATAATAATTTCACTGGTAGACATGTAGATATTAATAAAGACGATGCTTTTATTATACTCACACAAGAAAACCCTTTAATAGAAACATTAACACCTGATACTAAAAAATACCTTAATGAATTAAGTAAGAATTCTTCATTATTTACTGCTTAAAATTGGCGTATTTTGAGTTTTTTGCCAGTATAACAGGGTCCTGGAAAACATGCTTAACTAAGACTCAATCTAAAAAATAAAGATATCTGTAATCTGATTGGTTAATAAACCTTGGTTCCAAATAGACTGCTGATTCTCAACGTGTGCAAAATGGGGGATACCATCAAAGGTGGCAAAAAAATCTGAAGTCATAGCTACGAGCACAGATGAGAAGATTACTAAATGTAGCTAACCTATGACCATTTGTTAAAAAGATAAATCAATTATGGTTACTAATTTGTGTTAAGAGTAACTATCTTTAGCCACATTACCAAAACTTGTAAATGGTGAAGTTGTGATACCTTGAGTCTGTTGCACTTGAAACCAAACTTCACCATAGATCATGAGAACCTAATTTCAGTTGGTTGATTAACTGATCAGAAATATTTCCCAAAT